TCCCTCCTTCCTTCCTGCTCTCCCTCCCTTCCTTCCTTCCTTCCTTCCTTCCTTCCTTCCTTCCTTCCTTCCTTCCTTCCTTCCTTCCTTCCTTCCTTCCTCTCACCCTTGTTTTATTCTTACTTTTTAATCTCACTATATTTTTGGTAAAAAAAAAATAATTAGTAGCTATCTTATTATCCATTTTGTAATTATTTTTTTTAAAAAACTGGATTTGTGTAGGATCTCTTATTCTCTAGATGCTGGTATATCTTTTAGGAGTTGCCAAAGCTTTCTTTATTAACAATAAACTCAGGTATACTAGAGTTTTTCTTCCACAATTAGTCCCACGATAGAACTAAAATTATATTACATTGATGATTAAGCCATGACTTATATTTTTCTTTAGCTCTTGTGCTATTGTGACTGTCAGCTTTAATCTAAGATTATTCTGTAGAGAAGAAAAATTGTGAACCCTTTTGAGGTAATCATATTTTTTGGTGTCTCTCTGCCTTCAGACATGTTTGATACATTTCAGTACATTGTAAATGTTTCAATATTTTCTACTCAACTGAGAATTTAACTGAAAGAAAAATAACTGACATAAAACACAGGAAACTTTATTCTCCTTGATTTTAAAAACAAGGTCAAACTTAAGAAGGACTAATTATCTGTCTGTAGTACTTCGAAGCCTACTTCCAAGTTCCTAGATTATAAACTAATGTCAATTATTATTTAGGTTTTATAAATTATTCCCAATTTGATTCTTAAATTACTACAGAAACCATATGCAATTTCACAGAATTCTTGATGACTTTCTATTACAACAATCTTTTGTATAGCAAATTTGATTCATGACAATTGTATATTGTTTCCCATACTCAGAAAGATAACTCCACGACCACAAAAAAAAATACCTTTCTTTGTATATGCCTTTATATTTTCTATATTTTCTAATTCTCAGCCTTAAGCAAATCTTTCTCTTATGTATTTTACTCAGCAAAACACTATGGTAATAATTACGGTTCAAATTTAGACTATTTCCAAGTGAACTTTTTACTTTTTCCTCAAAGGATTCCTGTGAACCTTTTCCCTGTTCTCTTCCCCAGACTAAGGTACTGCAGAATCTGCTTAATTATTTAAGCCAATGAGATGATGCCTATGTTTTTCTCTACATTCCATCTATCTATATATTTTTATTTGTCTTTACCTTGTATTTTTTTTTATATCCATGCATCATTTTTTTGTATGACCCACTATGAGTACAAAACCATTCTTTGCTGAGGAAAAAACATTAAAATCTTCACTGCTTATTGATCATACCTTAAGAATCTTGCACATAATTTCATAAACTGAAAATGTTTTCTCTGCTCGGGTCCAGTCCCATGTTGTCACCTTTAAAAGATAAAGTAATATGCCATTTATCTTAAAAAGGTAGTTTCTGGTTTTTTTTTTATATATTATTTATATAATATGATTCATAAGTGAACATTTCATATATGTAATATATAGTCTCTCAGTTGTGAAGTTACACTCATAAAAGTCCATGAATAATGCTTTGGTCTCCTCCTTTCTAGGCATGACCACCATTTCTCTTCCTCTTTCAGCAAATTTTTTATTGCATTCAACAGTCTCCATTTGTGCAATGTCTTTACATATTTTAAATAAAGCATGTATTCTCTACATATAAACACTAACTATATATATATTTCATATATATATTCTCTATATATTCCATATATATTCTCTATATATTCCATATATATTCACTCTCTCTCTATATATATTCCATATATATTTAGTTTACCACTAGTTACATAAAAGAAAATTACTAGATAGCAACAAAGGCTTTACTTTTCTTAAAAGATAATTTATTTTAGGAAGTTATCTTATGTGAACATCTTATAACATTGTGAAAACACCAAACACTACAATGAAGTTGTTTCACATATTTAAGTTTGGAAATATATCTGTCTGCTCAGTCATAAGAAATTATTCAGAGTAGCAATATAATAAAAATATAAATATTAATGGCTTTTTTACTCCTTCCTGGTGTTTTGAAATTTATATAGACATAGATATTCAAAATACCAGCAAGTTGGACTTGATAATTCTAATACTTTAGGCATTATTAGATCTCTAAGCGAGTGGTCTGGCATTTGATATTTATAGACAATAAATATTTATTGAGAATATACTGCTGTGTAAGGTATATGTTTCCAAAAGCAAAATCTTTTATGCAACAGATACCCATTTGTATTTAATAGAAAGTCCAATAACTAGAATATACTATTGATTTGATTTAGACAGATTTGTGCCACATAAACATATTTTAACTGTCATGAATGCCTAAATAGAAAAGACTTCTAGATTTCAAGGGTTATAAGAAAAAAATGTTTAATGCCAGAATATATATCTTTAGCAAAATATATTCAGAAATATTTGTACTGTTTTCTGTATTTTTTCTGTATCTTATTTTCAAAATATATTGGTAATATGGTTTTTGTTATTGTTAAACTGATGTCATTCTGTAGTGATAATAGAAGGAAAATAAAAAAACATTGGACAAAAACGCTTACTGGAGGTGCCAGAAACTTGTAAAGACATGATCCCCTAAGAGCTAGAAATGTTGGTGAGTACACACATTCTTGAAGGGGATCCTGCTCCCGTGCTTCACACCATCCCATGTAGACTATCTGCAAGGAAATTGAATATAATTACTGCCCTGAAAGTCTCATATCAGATGTATTTTATGTATATTTTTATATTTTGCAGTATTTTAATTCTCAACATTATCAAATTAATTGATGCAAAAAAGTACATTAACCAAGCTTACAGTCAATAAGTGAATATGAACCATTCATACAAGTTTATAATATGTTTTTATCAGCATTTATCAAGTGTTTGTTTATGTAACCCAATTTAGCATGAATTATATCTTCCACTCTTTATCATTTATGCTATAAAAATATTTCTTTGTAATAGAATTCATGGACTTATACTATCAGTTTCTTAATTAGTGACATTTTACTATCTGGGAATGTATTCCCAGTATAAAATATTCAAGTAGAGAAGTCAAAGAGAGATACCTGGTGTGATTACTACTGGTGTGTGACATACCACATCTCCATTGTGACTGATAGCATGGGATGAAAACCTTTCTTGCTTTAGTCACTGATCTAAGATGAATATATATCTATCAAGCATTATTCACATATAAAATGGCAGTGCCAACTCTTTTGCTTTTAGCTCTTAAATTTAGGTGAATCAATTTCCAAAAAAAAAATCTTATGAGATAAACCACTCCTCTTTTCATCTTTTGATTGTTTTGAAGGTTAAACATGTACATAAACATTTATTAAATGAGTCTTACATATCTAAAACTGTATTCATATGTCATTCCATATCTCTTACCACAGTCTATGTGGTCAAAGTATCTGGGAGGATATATTTCCCATCTCATGTAACTTACTTTGTTTTTATGGTTGTTCTTTCCTGCTCTGACTTTCTTTCTTTCCTTGTCTTTCTTTTTCTTTTCCTTTTTTTTTTTTTGTTATGGTAAATAGGTTATTAATGCACATGCATAAGTAGGCTGGATTTAGTATCTTGTGCTTCTATTATTACCATTAAAAAAGCATACTCAAGTTAGACACATATGGAACAGTTGATAGAGCCCAGACTATCTCCTGTACACAAACCGGCAAACTCCAGCCTAGTGGCTAATGCCAAACAACCAGTTCACTTGCAGAGAGAGATAAATACCTTTGTAATGTTCCACCTACTTTAGGGGTTGTTTTGTTATGCACTATTACTGTGGTGAAAGCTTACTAAAAACAACAAAAAATTGAAATGTGGAATTTGAATTAAGATAACTGTCTGATTTCAGATTTAATTTTCTTTCTGCTATATTTACTCTCCAAAATAATTGTATTATCTATTATCTCATTATCACAGTTTGTCTTACAATAAGCCTGTGAGATATAAAGAAATTACAGAGTTACAATTTAAAAAATTAGCTTAACAAGTGAATCAAACTCAGTTTAAGTTTAAACTGAACTTAGAACCAAGGCCCAAGTAGATACTTAATCAGGCAATATCATGTTTTTTTTTTTTTAAAGTAATTTCATTACTCCCATTTCCCATTTGCCTTTCTTAAACCTAGGATGTGTATA